AAGATTGAAAGTTTCCAAAAAAAAGAAAAAACAGCTCTAATATTAGGAGAAGATCCTCTATGCCATGATGGATATTTTGTAGTTTAGATAAAACATAAAATATTAATTATCTATTTAAGTTGAGAGAATTAAAATAAAGAAATATTATAATTTGATTAATGAAGAAACCTTTTCTTTTTCTTTGTCTCCTCTCAATTTCCCTAAACTAAATATATTATAAGAGAGTGTTTAGTATAATGATTTCAAATTAATAATAAGTATTTTCATATAATTTAACGGTTAATTAATTCAAATATTCTTCTTTAATGAAATAAATAAAATTGCTAATCTTTAATTAGTTTCAAATTATTATACCAAATATTGCTTCTCCCGATACACATGCACCCAACGAGAATGAAGGCAATTTTTAATTTGTTATTGTACTAATCACCATATATGATGATCTCTCAATTGTTATCCATTACTGCCAAACATGCATTCACAAATGCTTAACATTGTAGTTGGTTTGTTTGTTATTATTATTATTTTTTGGTTAAATCTTCATTTTGGTCCCTGAGCTATCGTACGAACCTCTGATTTGGTCCTTAAACTAAAGAAATCCCTGATTTGGTCCCTAAACTACTGTACAGACCCCCGATTTAATCCCCACTGTTTATAATTTGGCTTAAGTTGGTTCTTGAACTATTATACGGACCCCCAATTTGGTCATTACTGTTTACAATTTCGCCCCAATTTGGCCCATAAGCTATTATTTAACAAAAGGACCAAGTTGGAGCTAAATTGATAAACAATAGAAACTAAATTGATAAACAATAGAAACTAAATTGGGGATTTGTATAATAGTTTAGAAACTAATTCGGGGGTCCGTACAATAGTTTAGGGACTAACTTAGGGCTCTGTACAATAGTTCAAAAACCAAATTAAGAATTTTTTTAGTTTAGGGATCAAATCGAAGGTCCATACAATAGTTCAGAAACCAAAATAGAAGTTTAACCTTATTTTTTTGAACATGTTTACATTTCGAAGATAAGGATTCAAATCTCAATTCTCAAAT